GTGTAATATTCCATGCAATCTCTACGGTTACTTAGTACACCTATCTAATTAGCTATTAGTGCCTATATATATATATATATATATATATATATATATATATATATATATATATATATATATATATATATATATATATATATATATATATATATATATATATATATATATATATATATATACATACAGTCTGCTCAATCTAAGCTGTTCTACCCCAATTTAGAGGATTCATTTAACATATCCCGAGTAAACACATACTGTTTAGCTCTTTATGTAAAAGTAGTGAAAGTGGTAGACGATCACACTCCAGAGCTTGTATCACCTTGCCTTACAGTGATCTTACTTCACTCAAGAATATGCAGTCCTAAACACCCCTTTTCTTTTGCTTTATTTTTGTAGTTTAATGTTCTAATTTATGATACGTATAATAATGTATTTATACTATACATGTTTTTTGTTTTTCTATTTGATGATTACTTTCTACTCATAATTTCTGGAAATCTTCATCTGAAATGATGCACTCTTCTTCATATCACCTGTTATAGCATTTTTATATCAAATAGATTATGGCTTGCAAATAAGGAAATACTACCTGTAAATTAGCTGAATATGATGCAGAAATTGGTAAGTGGTATTTTTATTAACCTGTTGCTATAATTCTTGGTTCTGTACTCTACCTGCACAAAGCTCTGGTATATGTATGTCAGCACAATCTGCTAGTTAGTTTAGCATAAAGTGTCTGGTTTGTTCTCAAGACATTTTTATTACCTAATAAAAAAAACTTTGGAAAACCAGAGTGATTCAATACTTTCTAATTCTTTAAACTTCTTTTGCCTTACATTTAGCATACTTCTCTCTTACAAATTTCATATTAATGTCAATTTAACATTTTAAATTGAACTTTTACCTTATGATGGCAAGTCATGTCTTCATATTACCAAGATTTGCAAGAGAGAAAAAAGGTTCACAACAAAACTAACAAACAATACTTCAACAAATTTTATTGTTCCTCAATATATCAAGTTGGTGTACCATTGCACTCATTTGTTTTTTTTGTACTCTTACTTTTCTTTCCCCTTTTTCTACCTTGTTTTCTTTTCTTTGTGTTGTCATTTTCACCATTTGTAAGTATGTTATTCAGTGTACTTTTCCGTCCCTCTCCCATGCCTTCTGTTGAGCCATTTCTTTCATCCCAAAGAGTTGCTCCTTTGATTTTTTTCTTCTGTGGGTCTAATGCACTGAGTGTTGTGCTGTTACCATTACAGCACTCGTTCACAGTCCTTGGAGCTTCATCTAAAGGAACTGCCACAATAACGCCATTGGCTCTCCTTTCTTTCACTTGATATTTTTCTAAATATCTGGAACAAAGATGGAAAATAATTCTCTATGAAATCAAAATTTGTTTTTTTATTGGTGGGGACATTGCCACTGAACATAATTCTGAAAGTGAAAAACAAAGTTTGTATATGTTTAAAGATCAATAAATACTTCCCTAGTTGCCGTACCCATTACCTTCACATTTTAGAAAAAAATTTAAGAAGCGATATAATTATGAAACTTCATAAATTCTAAACCTAAAAATTCCCATAAGTTAAAATACAGTTAATGAAAGGCATTCTACATACTTTAGGCAACAAACCCAAATATTCTTATCAAAGTATCTGTCCACACCTTATATTTTTTGGATGTGGCCAAGGGTAATCACCGCTTCTGCTTAGGATCCACTCAGGAGTCACTGCCACCGACTGACACTGGGCTGCAATTTGTTTCTGGAAAATAAGTAAATGTGAATATCTCTTGCCTATTTCTTGAACTAGATTATTAATGTTATACTAAGTATAGCCTAACCCTCTGCTATCATGCCCAATTGAATAAACACCTGCATGTGATCACAAAAATTTCTGGTAACAGAACTTAAGAATCAATGGGAATAATTTTAACCAATTTTCAAACGGATGATCTACCCACATATTTTCTTAATACTTTCCTCTTAACAGTGTCCTAACTAGAAACAGCCTACTACAAGTAATAACTAGAAAATATAATAAAAAATAAAAGTGAATTTATTGAAAAAACAAACATATATATAATGTTGAATTTATTGAGAACCTAAAACAAACAAATAAATACTATAATTATGCATATCATCACATTTAATTCTCAGCTGAATAAGGACATGCGAGTGGATTGACAAGTTCACTTAATGGCCACCAAAGGGTTCACACCTCCCTCAGAAGAACTTGTATGCTATACTGTTCAAGATCAAGTGAACATATCCTGCTGAGAGCTTGCACTGCTCAAGTGGTGAAAGCAGGAACATCAACCAGGCAATTACTAACTACAAGTACAATCCAATTAATTTCAAAACAACCAATGTGCTGAATTATGTGCAAGATACCAATCTTAATTTTTGAAGTATGCATGATAGCAGTGTATCATAAAATATAACATGTTAACATTTAAAAACTGTTATTACGGTTAACCCAAAGTCTCTGGGAAAATGTTGTGTTTACTGTTTCATTGTTTTGTGAAATATTTCTACACATAGATGGCTCTGCAAGTGGTGAAGCCAAAAGGAATCAATTAGTAGACCTTGTTTCCTCACCTGATTTCACCTTTCCTTGTTTGTGATTTTTATACTAATGCTATCAATATTGATGCTGTTATTTTTATTATAGACATTATAATGATTATAGTGTTATTAACATTACTAACAGCAATATTAGATACCAGAAAATATTTTCAAAAATCAAGAAAAAGGGCAAAAAAGTGAGACACATAGTACTCATAATGACAGTGAGGGATGAGTGAGTGTGTGGTAATAATGTGTATCAATGAATGAATCAATGAATAAAAAAGTGAACAAATGAGTAAGAGAGAGAGAGAGAGAGTGAGAGTGTGAGTGTGAGTGTGAGTGTGAGTGTGAGTGTGAGTGTGAGTGCGAGTGCGAGTGGGTGTGTGTTTGTTTTTGTGTGTTTTTGTGTGTTTTTGTGTGTGTGTGTGTGTGTGTGTGTGTGTGTGTGTGTGTGTGTGTGTGTGTGTGTGTGTGTGTGTGTGTGTGTGTGTGTGTGTGTGTGTGTGTGTGGTGTGTGTGTGTGTGTGTGTTTGTGTTTGTTTTTGTGTGTGTGTTTTGTTTTTATGTGTGTGTGTTTTTTGTGTGTGTGTTTTTTTGTGTGTGTGTGTGTTGTGTTTTGTGTGTTTGTGTATGTTTTTTTTGTGTGTGTGTATGTTTTGTGTTTGTGTTTGTGTGTGTGTGTGTGTGTGTGTGTGTTTTTTTGTGTTTTTGTGTTGTGTGTGTGTGTTGTGCGTGTGTTTGTGTGTGTGTGTGTGTGTGTGTGTGTGTGTGTGTGTGTGTGTGTGTGTGTGTGTGTGTGTGTGTGTGTGTGTGTGTGTGTGTGTGTGTGTGTGTGTGTGTGTGTGTGTGTTTGTTTTTGTGTGTGTTTGTTTTGTGTGTGTTTGTTTTTGTGTGTGTTTGTTTTTGTGTGTGTGTTTGTTTTTGTGTGTGTTTGTTTTTGTGTGTGTGTTTGTTTTTGTGTGTGTGTATGTTTGTGTACACAAGTATGTGTGCATTTGAGGATGCATATGGGGATGTATGCATGTTCTTCACACAAAAGGTTGTAATCAGTAAGTAACCAATGTGTAAAGAATTTTAATGCAAAAATAATGAACACGGAACTACAAGCTGACCTCATCATACTGAGTCTTGCCCTGGTATTTTATGGATTTACTTTTCTTGCTTTTATTGCTATTTTCATGAGCATCTTCAGAGGCTTGTGAAGAATCTTCAATCACAACATCTTTTACAAACTGAAAAGAACATCCATTTTGATTTTGCGGCCAAGTACTTGATTCACAGGCAGGAACATCCCCTGCAGATACCACAACATTTCTGCAAAAGATACCAAGATAACACATCAGCACCAGCAAAATTCAGCAGTTAAGAAAAACATCAAATACATAATTTTAAAAATATAGAAAATATATAGATCTATATACATATATACATACACACACATACACATGTATATATGTATATATGATATATATATATATATATATATAGTATATATATATATATATATATATATATATATATATATATATATATATATATATATATATATATATATATATATATATATATATAATAATAATTAATCATCATTATTATTTTTTATTATGGTTACTATTACTATAATAATAATAAAAATTACTATTAGAAAAACAGTTTGATAAGAATGTCAAAATAAAACAGGTCTTTCAAAATGGAAAAGACATCTCACTTGTCTAGAATTCCTGTAAGTTGTTTGGCTAAATATTTGGATATTGATGATGGAAGATCTGCTTCTCCCTTTCTGTTGCTCCTGGCAGTAGAGGAAGATCTCACTTTCTCACAAGCTCTTAAGCCATGACCTGATCCCCAAGAGAAAAATAATAATATGAAGATTAACCATACACAATATCCACTATGCCATATTTATCATCATCAATGTGAATTTTTTAAAAATCAAAATAGCAATTCAATTCATAAAGCACTTCCAAAGTAAATAAAAATGAACTCAATGCAACTATGAAATTATCAGTTACGATTTTCTTTATTTAATGTTTATGATCCTTTGCAACCAATGTGAATGGGTTCACATGTTGATCTTTGTAGAGGCAGAAAAAATTAATAAACCTGATTTGTAGGCACTATCCTCTGCTAATGATAACAATGTAATATTCAGAACAAGTATCATGTGTTCAAAAGAAAATGCAAACCAGATGAAACATACCTCTCACTATTTGAGCTCCGTCTGCAGCCGTACATCTCCGAATTCTCTTTAAAAGCAGAAAAGAGGGCCGATCATCTTCGTTTTCTAATTTCTCTTCCTTTCCTTGAGGCTGAACTCCTCCACTCACATCTGCCAAGCTGTTATTTTTACCATAATTAACTGACAACGTTGGATCACATATTGCTCTGAATCTCTCATCATCTTCAGAATCTGAGCTACTTGACATGATGTCAACTTTATGCTTTACAATGAAGCATGAATAAACTGAATTCCTCCTCTTTTTTTCTTCTTTTCTACTGTCACTCCTTCTTTGTCTTCTTTTTTTATTGGTTTTGTACTATTTAGTAGCCTATATCCCCTTTCTTCTTGTATCCTCCCCTTTTTTTATATTATTTTTGCTCTTCGTAGGAAATTGTATGTGTCTTTGAATGCAGTACTTCTGTGTTTGCGTTTCACGTCAGCACCTGAAAATAACAAATCCATATTAGGAGTGTTTATTTTAAATTATCAGCAGTATAGTGTGTTTTCCTGACCAGGGATATTTTAAAGCACCAGGAAATGCTTGCCATGCATCAGTGAAAAATGTTTCATTCTCAGTGTTGAGTTGACTCTGGGTTATTCTTAAGGCTATACATTGGCAATGAAGAAGTAATAAGCATTAGCAACCAACCCAGTTTGATATCTGAGCTCATTACCTTTCCCAAATTTCAGAAAAAAAAAAGAAAAAAAAAGACTACAGACAAGGATTCAAACAAGATCAGTGTTCTAGCTCTATGGAGGTAGGTGGTTTTCTGCAAGCAAAAATCCTATGACCAATTATATGAGTAAAGCAGATAGTAAGTTAGAAAGATGGAGGGAAGCACCTGAAGATTGAGGTTTAAAAATCAGCAGGACAAAAACAGAATACACGCAGACGGGTGGAGAGAAAATTCAGGGAACAGTGAAATTAGGCCAAGAAGACATCAATAGGGTTATTACTTTTAAATACCTTGGTTCAATTTTGAGTGAGAATGGAAACTGGAATGCAGAAGCCATATTCAGAGTTCATGGAGGGATTGGAGGTCATCAGGAAGATCAAGTGCAAAAGTTATAGGAAAGTTTTATGAAAGTGTAGTTAGATCAGCTCTGCTCTATGGGGCTGACTTGGCTATTAAAGAAAGATCAAAAAGAAAATGAGGTGGATGTGTGGAGTCACAAGAAGAGACAGGATCAGGGGGACAGACAGTAAAAGTATTAGAAGTTTCAGAGAAAGCTCTGGAAAGAAGACTGTAAAGGTTTGAACATGTCAGGGGAAGAGAAAATGAGCATGTATGTAAAAGGATCATGAACATAGAATGAGAAAAATGGGATAGCTGAAATTCAGATGGAAAGACAGCATATAAAATGTCATGACTAGAAATGTTCACCCCATAAAGAAATAAGTAAAAGCAGAAGGCAAAGAAAAGCATACTTTGCAAATATCCCTCCTCCTAGTATAAGACTACGTGGCTCCAGGTGGCAGAGCCCCCTGGCTAGGCACATATACAACCACGGGGGTCCAGTGGGCAGAGCCCCCTGGCTATGCACACAGGTCCAGGGGGCAGATACCAAAATTATTATGATCGGTTATGTGAAGGTATTATGAAAAATTACCAGCGTCTTGGAATATTACATTTTAGGTGCCATTCAGTCTCAAGTCAAAGATCTTTGGTGGACAGCTCTTTCAAAATGTTGTACACCTGCATATATTTCCTTAACGTTACTGGCATATTTCAATCATTTAAACAATGGGGCTGATGCCAACAGAAGTGCACAACCACATCCATCCTTTGCTTCCAGCTATGGGGATCCTTCATGGCGAGCTGTCAGGCAGGCCCTCGACCCATCTCTATCTCCTCACAGCAGGTCTGATTGAGCTGCCCACAGTATGACTTCCTAGATTGTTCCACAGGCCTCCTCCAGCAGGATTGTCTCATCCACTGGGAAACGAGCTAGGTGCAAATGTAGGCTGTGGAATTTTATAGTGTTCAGGTTTTCCCTTCTATAGAGCATAACTAGCTGTTTCAAGGTCTTGAAGACACTTAATTTAGTCCTGCATAGGTACCAGCACCTCCAAACGCTCTTGTTGAATGAGTTCATGGCTCCTGCTTCCAGATCAATCCATCTACTGATTTCCTGGTCTGACGGCCCAGAGACATGGATTGCACTACTAAGGTATGTAAAGCTCTCTGTGACGTTAATGTTTTCACCACAAGTACATATTGACTGAGCTGGTTCCCCTAACAGTCCCCCAAAATCCTGGAGCTCTGTCTTGGTCCAAGAGACCTCTGAGCCCAGGGGGTTCGCCTCATTGCTGAAGACATCAAGAGCTGCCACCAGAGATTCCAGAGACTCAGACAGGATAACAACACTATCGGCAAAATCAAGGTCTATGACATTGATATTGCCCAGTGTTGCTCCACTGTGAGTTTGGATAGTAGCTCTGCCCATTCTCCAGTCCATACAAGTGTTGAAAAGTGTTGATGTAGGGACATAGCCTTGCCTCACTTCTGACTTAACAGCAAAGAAACTATACAGGCTCCCACCATACTTTACTGTTCTTTCAGTACCAGAATATGGGCTTGCTATCAAAGCAATAATCTGTATCGAAATTCCCCTAAATCTCAATCTCTCATTGTGATTCATGATGCACCGAGTCAAAAACTTTCTTGAGGTCCATGTAAGCTGCAAGCAGCCCACAGCCAAACTCGTGACAGCATTCCACAAATACTCAAAGCACTTGGATACAGTCTATTGTGGACTTACCAGGAGTGAATCCATACTTTGCCTGGTATACTTAGCAGTGTGATGCCACAGCAGTTGTTACATTCCCAACAATCCCCTTTCCCCTTCTAGAAAGGGATGACCATGCCCCTCAAAAGATCCGAGGGAATGGAACCAAACTGCCAGATGGCAGCCAGGACAGTATGCAAGCCCCATGCCACAGGTTCATTCTCAGCCTTTAGAAGTTCAGCAGGGATCTTCCTACCCTCAACTTGGTGTAGGAGGTTCCTAACTAATGGGTGGGTCCTGCACGGGAATTGCAACACCACTAGAATCCAGACTAACTGCTGGAGGATCTACCTGATAAAGCCCAACATTCACAAACCTCAACATGATCTGAGATGATCCATCCATCTACTAAGAGGACTGTCCTCTTCAATGAGGGCTTGGAGTTCAGTTTTTTCAGGGCTTGGTAGGCAGGACAAAGGTTGTTTAATAAGAAATGGTCTTCAACTTTCTCAGCAAGATTCTTGATGAACTGTTTCTTATCCCTTGGAAGCAGTGTCCAAGCCCTGCACACCAATGGTCAGTGCAAACCCTAGAAAGCCATTCAGTCAAACCACACAACATGCATCTGTGGCCTCCAGTGTCTCCAGCAAGATGAAACTCTGGCTTATTCTTGGGCATTTGCCAATGGACTCCCACGCTGTATCCACATGAGTGCACAAAGGAAAAATGTGTGGGCCACCACGACCAGAGCTACCACAGAAATCAGTGTTGCCACATTCACACACCACCAAAATTGCTTCTTTTGTGCTTATGTCTTATCAACATTTTTTTCCTTTTTCTTTTTTTCTTTACAAGTTTGAAAAAGAAATAATAAAACTTAACACAGAGTTCTCAATTAAATATTCCTTTATTCTTCTCTTTTATATGCTGGGCTACTAGATCCAATGTTGGGCTATCAAATGTGGATTAAATGGGAGCCCAGTGGGCTACCATCCCTCAATCTATCCCTGTGAAGCCCTCTGGAGTGGTTACTGGAAAGACAGGGGAGTCTGAAGTGGACCCATAGGGTTGCCACAAGCAATCTATGGTCAGTAACAAAGAACCTTGCAGTTCTGGAGGCTCCCCCAGCAAGTGCTAACAAGGATGTAGTCGATCTCCTTACCTATATCACTATACCAAGTCTAGTGATGCAGGATGGAGCACTAATGTCTAGCTAGAAGCTAGAAATCCTCAATCTTTGGGACCTGGCCAAGTCTCAGAGAAGAAGGTTGTTCTTGCTATTGAGATCAGCCCCCAAGCTGTGGAGACCAAATGACATCTCGTCACCAGCTTGATCATAGCTGGAAACAGTATTGAAGTCACCCAGTACAATATGAATGTTTCACTAGGGGCATTTTTCTATCATAAATGTGAGTTTGGCATAGAATTCCTCTTTCTCATTAAGTTTACAAGCTTTAGTAGGAGCATACACAGCAATAAAAAACACAAAGCTAAAAGCATGCTTCAATCTCAATGCCATCATATGCTCATCAACCAGATAAACCTCTATTACTAAATATTGAAGTCAGCTGGAGATGGCTATCGCTACTCCCTGGCGATAGCGACCATCGGCCTGGCTCGAACAGTAGGTGTACCCACTGCTTGGTCTTCTCACCTCCAAAAGGTGAGCCACCTCAATTCCCAATCACTCCAGTTCCCTAGATAGCAGGGGTAATTGTTCTTCCTGCCAGAATAAGTGGGTGTTCTGAGCTACTACCCGTATAACCCCCCTGAGGTTAAACCTGACAGTTGCTCTGAGTGGAGGCCACCTCTGCCACCCTTGCCAATATTGCCCCATATAAAGGGGAGTGGCAAGCCATGGGGCCC